TGAATGCATTAAAAGGGAATGCTTTTTGTGGCATCGTGGGCTATGAGACCGAGAAGGACGGCCAGGAAAGAAGAGGAGAAATCAGAAAGATGGCACTCACTGACGGAGGGAGATGGAGGAGGACAGAGTTGGAGAGCAAGAGGGATAAGGGAAGGGAAAGAGGAGCAGAGTGCTCTTTTAAATGGAAATTGGCTCTTCCACTGATGGCTAGGACGAGTAATGACGACCCCCCTCTGACTACTTGAACGTGGAGTCAGCATTTGTACATGCACACACACACACACACACACACACACACAATGTTCACATAACTATCATCCTGCACCTGCACACATCACACACATTTAAAAGCATGCAATAAGTTACTGATGACACACACAGAGACACACACACACACCCTCCAGAGACGGGAAAAGTGTGATGATGCATCATTTTGTTAAGCACCTCTATCCATCTCCCCTTCACTTTCTGCTCAAAAGACGAGGTTGCAACTTACCTCACATATACAGCCTACATAGTGTACAGTGTGTCTGTCTGAGTTCCCTCAAACAAACAGAACAACAGAGAGACAATCTGTGTCTTTATTACACCATAATCTAACAAGTCTCACTGCAAATTGTGGCTTTTTAACTTCTCTCAATGTTCCTTTAAAAATCATCCTATAGTGTGTTCACATGAACAATATAGATTGGATTTTGCATCTGCTATTTACTTTTCTTTTGGTACTACTGTACAGTATTTACATGAATAATAGCTTGTTAATAGGATGACATTATGTATCAGTGGATACATCTCATGAGTTTACATTTAGATCATTATCCTTCTTTTGCACATCTTTTCATACGGAGGCAAAAACGCTGACTTGCACATGCACAAATAAAATTGTATTTTTTTTTTTAATCCCGCAGCGGAGTTTCTACTTCCACACGGTCGTTTTCATGTCCGTCTTCCTTCCTCTGCTTCCTCTCGTATCCACAAAGAGAGAAAACTCTTGAGCCCGCTGTGTGAGTTCTGTTCAGAGTACTGCGGGCAAGCACGCAACTCAACAGAGACCAAATAGCTTCCTGTTAAACCCACACTGCTGTTACCAAAGCTGGGTTCTCCTTCAAGTCTGTGTGTTACTGTGCGTGCGTGTGTGTGTGTGTGTGTGTGTGTGTGTACACTGAATGTGTTTGTAGTTCTGTCTGCATCCGAATCACATTGTGCAACTCTGTGATTTTGGGACTTTTGTCTATATGTCTAAATGTGTTGACCCTGTTTGAACTGTCAGGGGTGAATTCACTATGAATGGGTTGTGGCCGCTGATCGCACCTCAACGTTTGTTTGAGACATTTGAGACATTTTTGAGTTAATTAAAGAGTGGCCGCACACTTAAACATGCTCTTTTAAGCTTTGGTGTTAACATGACGTTCTTACATAAGACAAGCGCTGAGTCGTTAGTCAGTCAAGTTAATGTCAAACACGCTCCTTTCCTAAATCTAACTAAGTGCTGTTGTTGCCTGAACCTAACTTCCTGTGAAGACGGAGGTTCATTTTTAGCGTATATTGACACACCGACCTCGACATGTCAAAAACTGACACGTAGCGCGTCATAGTTTGAAGCTTAGCAGCACTGATCGGGCTGAGGTGTTTGGCGCATTGGGGTGAGAATGTGTTAATTATTGAATGAACGAACAACGAGGTTTCTGTGGAAAGTTTTATGGTATTAAATGAATGCAGTGAGAGGAGCCATCAATGCTTAAAACACATGGCAGGGAGAAAGATGGTGATACATGTTCTGTATCTCTTGTCCTCCATTAATCAAAACATTAAAGAAATTGTCAAAGATATAAAAAAGAGCACAGATTCAAAACATAGATGTGTTTCCTCTTGCTGTGCCTGTAAACACACCTCAGCACAGTCCAGTGGTTTTTGACAAAGGACCGTTTTTCATTTTATTACTTCAGTGTTTCCCGTTATTAAAGACAAATGCTTCTGCCAAATGTTAATCAGAGATATGAGGCTATTTGTTTGAGGTCTTATCCAAACAGAGACTACGAAATGAAGAGCAAACTGTCTTTACTTTGTGGTAGAAGTATATCTCTGTTCATTTTCTTTTCTAACTCTAACACCTCATACGTCTACTTTAGTGACTCCACACTGTTTCAACACCCCCCCCCCCCCCCCGTCATCGTGTCTTACCATGAAGGGGAGTCGTGTCTCAAAAAGAAATGTGCCTTTTGGTGTGAAAGAACATCTGCTCCTGTACTTGGTCTTGTGATTTGTTTTCACGATATGCTCCGTGTAACTCATTTGCCTTTCAAGCAGCGGGCCCATTCCTCATTACATTTGAGGGGCGGTGCACTTCACACCTTCTGTGTACATTCATCATCGGCTGCTCTCACAGTGGGGTCGATCCCGGGCCCATTACCGAGTGTTCTACAGTAAATCGTGGTGTGTAAGGAGCATCGGTTTGGCACGACAACGTGTGCCATTCAATACACTGACCTCGGTGTATGTCAGCAGATTCAAAGGGCCAAAAATGCACACATGGGGAGTTAAAGAAGTTCTATATCTGCGTCCTCACTCGGGTAGCTGCAGTGTGTGATACTATCACTCTACTGTAACTCTTTAAGGAACAAACTCAGCTTGCACTGCCAGGATGTATGTTTCAGTGTCGACCAATTTTCGGACTTACCAGTCAATCAACATTGCCGTCCTTAGACCCATGCAGCTAGTGTAGCGAAAAGCCAGTGGCAAATGTGAACGACCCATAGAAAGTGCTAGTAAATGGTATGATAGGCCCATTCTTTCTTTCTCAAAGTGGCAATAACAAAAAACGGTTCCCCAGTCGGAGTATGAATGTAAATGATAAGAGTGAAACCACTTAAATCTTCTCTTCTCCCTCATGTTTGTTCAATGCTCACTAACCCACAAACCGTAATCACCCACTTCCAAACTCAGCCCGCTCCCTCGCATCTATATGCATATTACATCCGCAACCCATTACTCCTCATTTATCCTTCCACGTCCCCTCACTCCTTCCCATGCATCCTTAACCAGGCTCTGCGCTGTCCTCCCCTCCATCTTTGGATGTGGACCAGAGCCAGTGTTAGCAGTGTTAAAGCAAAGGTCTCGCAGGTCATTTAACTCCCAGTTGTCGACGGAGTGTGTTATCACCACAGCATCCGCTACTTCCTCACTCCGACCTGACTGTAAAAGGTGCAGCATCATTCGTTTACTCAGCATGGTGTGGGAAAAACAAGGGCTGGAAAACCTGTTCAGCAAACACATAGCCATAATATTTGAAGGTGGTTGTAGCCTATTTGCATTGACTAATCATTGTTGTGCTCATTTTGACGCATTACATCATCCACCTAACAGTAATTTAAGAATATTAATGCAAATGTTGACGGCATTACCCTGCACTTTACATTCCATGCCATACACCAGATTTTACAGAAGAAGAAAAAATGTTGCTTAAAGCAGTAGATTGACATTTCAGCTAAGTTTGGAAGTCAGACACCATAACTCTGATAAATTAACTCACAGTTTGACTTGAGTTTACACGAGACACGAATAGCGGTCTCCAAGGTAAAGCTACTGTCTTTGTTTGGCTCATACATCCTACGCGGACTTTCTCGCTATTTAAATTGCGTCCGATGCTCTAATGTGGGTTTGGATTGAAGTTAGTTGAAAGCCCAGTGTGTCACATACAGATGCTAAAGGGAGCCTCGGTATCAGAAGCCGACTGGCACTGACCAAGTTGCGATACTTGAGGAGTCAGGGAGGACATAGCAGTATATACAGTATATACAGTATATATACAGTAATTGTGTGCAAAAGAAAAGTGTGAGAGAGAAGATACAGAAAGGCTTCAATCAGCAGAACCTTTTGTCTTTTGTTTTTTAGGTGCACATTCGTGTGTTTTTGTTCTCATTTAGCGCGCACCATTGTTTGTGCCCATTGTCATCACTGCCACTGACAATCCCTCATTAACAGTGCTGCAGCGGCTCACAGCACTCGCAGTCTGGAGGAGGTAAATTAACTAGGAAACAGATGCGGTGTGTGTGTGTATGTGTTTGGAGCACGAGGTGGTGAGTGTGTGAGGAAGCGAACATGGCAGATTTAAGCAGGCTGCTGTGCAACAAAGAGCTGCTCAGCTTTCTTCTCCTCCAGTCGGCTCGGCTTCATGCTTATGCTTCCAGCTCCGAAAGGCAAAATACTAGACAGACAGACAGACAGACAGACAGATAGATGGATGACTCATTTGAGTGTACACTTGCAAACACCACTGATTGGACAGGATGGTTCAGAGTTTTGTGCCCGATTAGCTTTGAGGTGATATAGTTTGCTCTTAGTTTCATACGGTGATAATGTAATGATGCTCCCGTATATGACAAATGTTGGACATTTTGACTGCATTTATAGATTTGCCGGGTACACAGTTTAAAACTCTGATAATGATTGAGATCCTCTCACTGTAAACAAAAGTTGTATGAACTAGAGGCAGCATCATTTTGCAGTTCTGTTTGTACAGATAAACACAAAATCACAACACAAAGGATGGGAAAGAACGAAGGGAAACGCAGAAACATCACTGTCTCACAACATAATAGCCTGCCCCGGACAAAAAACACAATTTGCAGCTGACAGGACGGACAGTGACAGCATAATGACTACTGCCGCTAATGCAGGCTCTGCACTGCACTCAAGCAACAATGCGGCAATTTCATTAGCCGCGCACGTTCTGTCAGAAGGATATTGAGTTGTGATGCCAGAAATATCAGTGACAGTGAAAAGATTGGAAAAGCAGTCTTGTTTTGACGGCAGCCTGAGTGGACAAAATGAGGGGGAAAAAACAACATGCAATGACAAAAGCAACAAGTGGGCTCGTGAAAATCAAATATCTTTTAAGATAATCATCTGCTGCCCGGTTGGTGTTTCCATTATAGACTGCAGTTTAATCTATCCTCTCTGCCATCCCTAACACTATCACTCCATCTCCCTTCTTTCCCCAGATTGGAATAAGCGAGTGGACTATGAGCCAGGAACGGGAAGTAAGCAGCTGTTTCCTAAAATGCACCTGGAGACCTGTGGCGGGCCGCTGTCGTCGGTGAGGACCACCGTGGAGCTGCAGACCAGCCACATCGGGAAAGGCTGCGACCGCGAGACCTACTCTGAGAAATCTCTACAGAAGCTCTGTGGTTGGTTCTGCAAAGACATTTTTGTGCTGTGCTATGAATGCCATAACCGTGCTCGCGTGACCAGAATGTAACAGCTTCGATTGAGCGCGCATTTCTGGCATGTAGCGCGTAAACCACATGAGAGTTGGACCTGTGGCTATTAGGATGGTGGTGGATATGTGGAATGTACTGTAGATGGCCGATCAAAGATGACTTCTGACTGAGGCGGCAAACTGAAAGTTAGTGCAATGAATATGAAGTAAGCTGCTGCTAAAAGCATCGGTGGAATCCAGCGTCTGAGTAACAGGGTCAGACAGGACCTGAGGCGCCGTTCTCTGCCCCTTTTTAAAGCAGCATCTGAAAGCTCCGGGTCCATAATGCGTTCTTATCTCCGCTTGTGTCCCTGGTAAAACCCCTGTGCTAAATGAAGGCACCAGAATAGCAACGTAAAGCTGTGTCACTAATGATGTGACAGAGCGAGGGCATTAGCTGCCTCAGATGCAGCCACGCTCTCTCCTCGGTGACTGATGAGCAGCCGAGCCGCCGTATCTGTGCCCAGAGCACCAACAAAGCAGCCGAGCCTCCCCCCCCCCCCTCCCACACTGCACCGCCAGCAGGGGGGCTGGAGTCATCATCTTTGACTAACGGCCTTCAGAAACCCCATTCCAGCTCATCTGAATGCATAACGTCCACTCCCTGCCTCCCCTGGCTCCCGGTCCATGCATGGTTTACCACTAAAGAGTCCTTTTCAGGCACCTCATAATCGTTATCTGATAGCGAATAGAATAAATTGTAATTGCTTTTTTAAAGCGCAATCAATTTGAGATAATGTACAAAGACATCGGGCAAAGGGAAGGCTGCAGCTGGGTGCTGGAGAAGTCGATGCGTATTTATTTACGGAGGGAATGTAATTACTGGAGTCAGAACGTCGACGCTGGCATGAGCACGAGGTGGAGAAAAACAGCTTTATAGATGTGCGAGGGGGGGGGGGGGGGGACATCAATTAACGTGCTAATGTTGTGTTATTAGCAGCAGTGAACAGTTGCATGTTGCAATTGTTTGCCGGACAAGAGAGCCATGATGAATTCTGACACTGCTCATTTTTTTCCTCAGAACAGCGTGGTTCCCGTATCACTTTGATTTATTACCGTCCATAGGCTGTTACAAATGATTTATAAATGTGGTTTAAACGCACAGAATGCATTTTTCCCTGTCCCACGGAGAGGCAGAGATATAGATCACCAAGGCCACGTCCATCGCATCGAGGAGCAAGGTGAGCGGCATGGCCAAGAATAACGTTTGTCGAGGTGCCAGTTTCAAAACAAAAAACGTTCAGGACTCAACATATTGAGGTTATTGTGTCAAAGGGATGATGGAAACGCTTTCAAAGGGAAGAGGAGAAGGGGAATATGAATGGCTCAATGCAGTGCAGCAATGATTGGTGTGTATTGTCAGAATGCACAGTATCGGGATCATATAACAAAAGTGTCAGCTGTAAACAATTCATGTCATTGGCTGAATCACGCCACGCGCCGTCCTGTTCGCCAGCTCCTCGCTGTGTCTTTTCCCTTTGTGTTACCGTAGCACTCGCTCAATGTGTCCTCTCTCATTCCATAGAGGCACATTGCGGTCGCGAGCTATGTTCTGAATTTGGGAGCAATGACTCACATGTCTTTCCTTTTGAAAGTCAGTTTCATTTGCCATGAATCAATACCCACATCCTCAATCCATCTCGGCCCATTGATTACATATTAAGCCCTGCCATCTGCCTCACTCATAAGTAATCATAGCCAAGGTTAGGCCAATATACACCACATATCTGCCGTGATTGTTATTGACACATTCTCCATCGCACCTTTTATTTGTTCACACGGCGATGACCCCAGGGGCCTCCTCGGGCAGCACTGACCTTCTGCCCGCCCCCAGCGCTGCCACCAACTGGACGGCTTCCCTGGTGACCGACAGCGGCAGGGACAGCGACTTGATCTTCAGGTTTGACGGTCATCAGGCGGCTAACATCCCGGACTGGGTGGTGCCCCAGAATCTGACAGACCAGTTCACCGTCGCAACCTGGATGAAGCACGGACCCAGCCCCGGGCTCAGAGCCGAGAAAGAGACTCTACTCTGTAACTCCGACAAGACTGGTGAGTGTGATCCTCCTGACAGGCAAGGAGTGACATAATCCCACTAACAGGTGTCTGTGTAGGCAATGCCTGATATCTTATTCCTTTGTGCCACGGCGCTCCACACACCACTGAGCCATGTGGTAACACTTGGTGGCATGTTCCTTCATAATAATAGACATGGGCATTGTAGTTAAGCTTCATTTAATTCCACCTACATACACCATGTTGCTGTAGTACTGTTCATACTCACTAAACACCAGATGTGTATTCATCCTCTGCTGAAAACAGTCCACCAAGAATGGCAGTTACTCCAGTTTGAGTGACATTTGTAATAAAAAACAGTGCCCAGCTGTTTAAGAAGCTGACTATCAATATAACTGTGACATTTTTGAAGATTTAGTTCAGCAGGAATAAATAAACTCGGAGCTTAAAAGTGGATGAGGAAATGTAACCTAATATTATAAATATGATCTTATTCTCTGTATTGATCCAGTATAACAAATTCAGTAACATCATAGCATGTTTTGCTCACAGGAGATGATTTTTGTTGTTAAAATTCCAGTGAAAATTGATGTGAGATAACCTTGACAAAGTCTGCCTTCAACGAAGAGGTGCTTCCGTCCCAGTCGCGTGTGTTCTTCTGGTTTACCTGACAGTAAGTGTGTGTGATGAGTCGGTCCCTGGTGCCTACTCTTCTTTCTCCCTCCCTCCTTACAGAGATGAACCGCCATCACTACTCACTTTATGTCCACAACTGCCGCCTGGTGTTCCTGCTGAGGAGAGACTTCACCCAGGTGGACACCTTCAGACCGGCCGAGTTCCACTGGAAACTGGAGCAGGTAAGACAGCGCGACGCCCCGGGATACACACGACAGGCAGGTGTGACACAGAACATAAGTGATCTCAGTTTCTGCCTTAAACTCACTCTTGTGGATTCGATAAGTAGGTCATGGGCCAAACTCACAGGCAGGGATGAAGCCTCTAGCCTGGATTACACTTGTATTAAACATCCACTCTTGGCTTAATCCATGTTGGTCTGTTTCTTGCACGAGTAGACATTCATTTAGAGAATGTGGCAAAAGGTTCATGAAGGAGTGAGAAGCACAGATCAGTCCTCACTAACTGGTTGCTCATCAGACACATAAAAAGCTTAATACACACCCTTGGGTTTGTGTGTGTTTGTGTGTACATAGAAGCACTTGTATGCCTTTTTATTTAGTGCCTGACTGCACTAGAAATCCTCAAAGAAGCCTAACCTTTAATTAAACTCAATTAGTTTGGAGAACTCTCATAACAGTTCACATATTAAACGTGCACATTTCTTAATTAATGGATACAGTGACTCGTCAATGCATATTTGCTATGGATATGATAACTTTCCTGTCTGTATTTTATCATAGCCGTAGTTGTTTCTCTAAGGAAACAAATATGTAGAGAGATAAAAATTGTGAACATGATTTTGGGAGTTTTTATTATCTTTTGGAACAGAACTGTCGGTATAATTAGGGCAAGCCTGGAAAGGTTTTAGGAAAAACGATCTGTGGGTGAAAATATGCACAAAAAGATTCTTAGTTGAGAAGAGGGATGAGTGAAGGATACTTGAACAAACAGACAGAGCAAAGAGAGGCTGAGATATGCTCGCTCCAGGGTTTGTGTGCATGCATGTGCGTGTGGACAGCAGCTGTCTGTTGATCAAGGATGCTGTCTTAAAGTCAGACAGGTCACCTCGACTCGCAAGACCCCGCTCTCACGAAGCCACGACTTTTGATCCAGAGGAGAGACGTACAGCTGAGCCAAGACATCCAGACACAACATAGAGGGCTAATTTAATCAGACACATCACTGGTCTTTAATAGGGGGGCATCTTCTGGAAAAACACAGGGTTTCCACAGAGTATTAGTCACTGTTTTCTCATCCAGTCCACATTTCTTCTGGTGTTTTTAAGGTGTTACTTTAAAACGTCGGCAGTAATCGGAAGACAAATCCACATTTCTCACAACCCCCTCCGCTTTCAGTCGTGAAGAAGATCTTTGCGTCATTAGTCAAATGTTTACTGAAGGTGTTAAAAGTAACCATTAGCGTTTATGGTCGTAGCTGCCACTGATGACACATCCTCTGTATTTTGCCATCACTTTGGCAATTTTTTGGGGGGTTTTAATAACAAAAATAAGAGAACAACTAGTTTGGAAATCAGTTTGTTTCTGGTAGTATGGCGGAAAAGAACGTACACTTAGGGGATTAAGATTTTCAGAAAATATTTAACAGTGTATAAAATGTAAATTTTGGTATTTCATGGACATTACTTTTGATTTCTGCTGTCTTCAGAGTTTATTAGGAACTAACTAATAATTAACTAACTAGTTAGAGGTAACGTCTATGTTTGGGGATGTTGGATTTATGACGTCAGTGTTTTTTAAATCCTGGATACAGCCCTGTAACCATTTGAGATTTTATCACGTCAACAACTATTGGAAATTTGAAATTAAAATTTGTTAGAGACATCGATGGTCCCCAGAGGACGAAACCAGCTGACGTAATGATCCTTTGACTTTCAATCTGGCCCTGGCAGCTGGTTAAAGTTTTCACTTATTCCAGTAGAATATCTCAACAACTGCTGGATGGATTGACACAACATTTGATACAAGCATTCATGGTCCCCAGAGGATGAACCCCAATGACTTTGGTCACCCTCTGACCTTTCCTCTAGCGCCACCAAACATCAAATTTCTAATCTACATGCATCATAGACCCGACTGCTTCCCATAACAAAGACAATATTGCTATATAAAGATGTCACAAATATTCTCTTGTCTTTATTTAAGGTGATAAGTGATTTAAACACTATTTCACCATGACCCTTTCACAATGTGTTACTTGTTTGAAAAGCTCCCTCTCGCTGTTACTTGCTGTTAAGCAATCAAGCTCATGCAACATGCACGACATGCACGGAGGGTTGAAGGAGGGAGACATTTTCTCTGTCAATTGCTTGTTTGTTTGTGGTAATTCTAGTGTCATAAAGTGTAATTCACTTATGATAAAATGCATCACATCACATCCTTTAATTTGGACTCCTCGTATGCAGCAGTTGATGAAATTATATAAAAAAGGAAGCCGGGAGATGAGGCTGCAGCTGCTAGCAGTGTTTTGGGTTAATACAAAGATTTAGGATGTTAATTCTACAGCCTTGTCTAAATTGATCTCAATTTATTTATTGTATTAGCTCCCGGTGATAAAACTTTCTACGGACTATGCTGGCACCACATACATCTCTGGAACAGGCTGAACAATAGTTGTTAAACTGTGGAGTTTCCTGAGCACTTTCTGAATCCCCCCCCCCCCCTAATTCTTTTGTCCTCTCTCTCTCATCTTCCTCCCTCTTGTTAACAGTTTGTCTCTGTAACCCTGCGGCATGAAAGGAAACTTTCATCAAGTTGCTATCTCCCCTCGCCTTCTCGCCACTTCCTCCTCATCTGCTAATGTCTTTTAAACAAAATGAACTTCTGAATACCTCCGGCCCAGAAGAATCTCCTCCTCTCCCTACGTTGGTTTATCACACAAGTCCAATTAATTCCTCATACAATCCAATCAGGCACTGCGAGTCGCTACATAAAGATTGGAGCGGGGGGTTGGGTGGGGGAGATGGTTGCAGGTATTAGTCTTACCTGCTGAAAGAGATATCTGTGTATATCTGTTAATAACAGGCAGAAAGTAGTTAAAGGCAGCGTGGCTTTTTGCTTACAGACCTATTGTGTTCAGTGTGGTTGAGTATTTTAAGCGTTGCTGCCTGTGCTCTGCATTGTGGAGAGAGATTGAGCTTGAGGTTTTTTTATTGACTTCAATGAAACACTGTGCAGCGAGTTCGTATGGAAAGTGTCTTTTGTGCACTGGTTTCATATTCTTTAAATGTGGACTTGCATTCAGGCGTCTGAAAGGAGACTGTCAGTCTTGAAGCTGTTTCCTGCATCAACCAGTACTTAATGAGCCCCTGCATGTATTATATTATGTAGAATCTGCACGGTCCAAAAAATAGCCTTTGGCTCACACAGGTATCAGGGAATTTCACTCGCTCACCCACAGTCAGACTTCAGTTCTTTAACAGTGTATTAACAGCAAGTGAAGATTCATCGTTCCTTTGAAGAGGAGAAATACAACTTATTTGAATTAAGTTGACCAAACTTTTACTTTTCAAAGAGTGATAAATAAAGTTACTTTATAGCATCTTTATTTGCTTGATCATTCTCATTTTATTAGAAGGCTGTATACACTCACAACCCTCCTACACTGGTGACTTTAAGCCAAATGCGTCTGTGATTAATCCTCGTAACTTAAGTCGATGGTTGGCGTAGATAATAAACACAGATGAGTTCGTATTTGAAATACCGTTGCCAAACTACGTGCACACACTTACATATGTGATCACCGTTTAAAAATAGTAGAAGGTCCATATGAAACAATAAGTAATGTTTGTAATCATTACTGTATGTATTGCTCATATGCTAACCAAACAGCTTGGTTAGCTCCTTGGTTGCCCTGTCAGTAGATCCGATACAGTTAACAAAAGCTTCTAACCAGTGGAGCTGATGTCCGTGTTTACTTGTGTGCACTGTATGGTTTGAAATTCTTAATGTAAAAGTGTATTTAGGAGACTGAAAGTGTGAACATAGCATGAACCATAGCCAGGATGACTCAATGAGAAAAAGACCCAGGATGAAAAGAACCAGAATCGTCCTTTAAGTAAATTAACCATTTGCCCTCGCAAGCACAGATGAGGTCTAGTAACTTCCATGAGTAAGTAAATAATTATCCCGTAAACGTTATGACCCGAAGAAAGCAGTCCACACAAACATTTGCATTGGTAAATCATTTAAATGGCCCTTTTTTGTATTATGTCCCACATTTTGGGCTTGAGCACAGCGCTTCATGAAATGTTGACGGGATACCTATGCGCTTCACTGCGTCCCTGTTTCTGTAGAGTTTCATGATGTGTCCCACGTAGAGAGATGAATGGAAAGGCTGTTTGTGTACAGAGCAAAGCCTGCTCTGTGTCCGTACCTGACAGGGCGAAGGGGCTCCAGCGGGACGAACAATTCAATGAGAAGTCACCTTGAGCCTTTCATCTACGAAAAGAAGCGGGAAAAAATGACAACTGGGATATTTGAGATCTAAACGATGTTTCCTGCAGAAGTCTAAATTGAATGTGGAAGTTACATCATTACCTCTGGCTACCCCATGACTTATTTATTCAGGAAAGCAAGCATGCAAACACTCAGGGGGGGGGCTTTCTATGATTATATTAGTGGACGGCAGTGGGAAATATATATGTGACCTTAATGTAGTCGGGGATAGTGAAGCTAGGCAGACGGCCACAATATGGGTTCATGTGTAGATAAATAATGGTTAGTAGTTGTCTCACACTGTGCTGCATGTTCATCCAGGCCATTCAGTCACTAACTGTGTCTGACGCTTAGTGCTCGGTAGTTTACTGGTGGAGCTTTTTTTATTTGTTTTGATGAGAGTGGTGAGACTGAGCCAAAACAGTGAAGTTGAGGACTTTAAAACCAAAACAATGAGAAAACCCCTTTTCACACTATACAGTAATTCGCCACATTTTTCATACAAAAGATATTGACTAGTGCAGCTTTGATGCTAAGAAAATACACTTTCTCCATCCAACACAATTCAAGCAATTTTGTCTTTGACTACTGATTTATTTGCTCCCGTTCCCATTTCGCAAGTGTATTTCGCATCTATTGTGCGCATCAACAGTGGCTGAATGTATCACACGTGACAATAAAAGATTGAGCATATTCTTTACAAACCGCTTGGCATGATCTTCCCC